ATTCCACTAGTAGATCTTTAAATATCATAGAAACCCTATCCAACCCCAAACTGCCAACTTCTAATACTTTCTTGTACTAAAACCCAGATATCTCTCAAATGCACTATTATATTTTTACAAATTTTTACATACACTTAGGACATTCAATTAATTAATCACTTTCAAATTTTGAACTATAGATGTGATACAAATTTTATAAACTAGCGAAGAATACTAACCCTAATTATATTGCATAAATTCCAAGTTGCCAATATAATTCTTGATTTTGAATAACAATTGCTAAGTCCAAAAAAACTCTATAAAAAAGTCTTATAATCCTAGAACAAGCTCTAAGCTAACTCACAAATCCTAATTATTGATCTTTGAATAAAAATCCTATATTGCCTTAGGTCTTTATTTTAAAGACTGGAGGTTTGATTTTGATCATGTGTCTTTAAATCTCATTTTACTAATTTCTTTAAATCTCATTTTATTAATTTATAGTCTTTCTAAGTGTGAGTATAAAATTCACTCTTCAACCCAAATTACAAGATGGCTTCAATTAAGAATTGCTTGTAATTGGTGGTGTGAAGTAGAAGTAGCAAGAATAAGAACAAAAGGAGAAAAATACAAAAAAAAACAAATGAAACAAGTACCATCAAGCAATTGTATACTATAAATCTAGTCATAGTCTGTTCACTAAATTTTTATTTAATAAAAAGTAAAAAATAAAAGTAAAAAATATATTTTTAATAAATAAAATCTTTTATCTTTTCAATAGTATAAGAAAAATATAAATCCAAGTTACTATGAATAAATTATGAAGGTTTAAAAATAATAAGTAAATAAATAAAAAATTAAATAAATAAAATTTTACCTCAAAGATAACTTGCTTAAGAGATCAAGAGTTCGAGCCTCACGAAGGCTCGAAAGTAGTATATATGAATTCCTAAAAGAGGCCATGAGGTCTTATTCTTATCTTCCTAACTACCTTCAAGGTGCTGCAACCTATATGGAACTTGTGTACCTCCCTTCTTATAAAGACTCTACCAGCTACTGGTCCTCCTATTTTCTACTAGTAAAATCCATAATTTTGTATTTTTGACTTCACCATGGTGTTTAAAAACACCAAATTAGCCTAAAAACCTTTCAAGGCTTTTAAATCTTACTCCATTTCTTCATAATGGCTCCCGAAGTAATAAAACTTATTTTTACCAAAGTCTTGGAAATTACTCTAAAAATTCCTAAATAAATTCTAAATAAATTATAAATAAATTTTAAAAATTCCTATAATGGTTTTTTAATAATAATATCAGTTGAAGGCTATAATTTCCTACCTCAATGATTTTTATATTAATAAAATAAATTTAAATCTACTATAAATCCTACTTTCTATATAACTAACTTAAAAGACATGAGGTTCTTTTTCATGCTTCTTCTAATTACTAATTAACATTTATATTTTTTTTTATAAATAATATGTATAGATAAAAGGCCAATATAAATATTGATCTTAATAAATATCTTTCAATGTTCAATAATAAGTAAAACAAATACCAAACCAACTAAGATAATTGCCTCTAAGACTTATTAAGACTCCAATTCTACAACTAATATTCTAATTTTCTATTTGTCTAAAGATTCTTATACTATTTACCATATATTGTGGTTTTAAGCACTCTAAATGCATCTTTTTATTCTAAAACAACTAGTGAGTCAATTTGATGACTTATACTAAGGCAATAAAAGAGTCTCTACAACTTAGAAGATAAAATTATTAACCAACCATTAACCTACTAACTATTAAGACAAAAAAATAAACTAAGAGACTTTTAGAAAAGCCATATTTAAATATATTCAATTATTATTGAGCCAAGATAATTAGATACTAATAAGAAATTCATTTTTGATTATATTTTTACCATATAATTGTATTGTATTACGACAATAGTTTCTATTGTAGTTGAAAAAACTTATTTTCTGATATATTAAATTTTTTGGCAATTGTGCTCCTCATTTTGTAATTGCATTGCTATTTTAGATAATATCAAGCAATATATTTAGCTTTTCTACAATATAAACATAAATTATCTTGACAATATAAAATCTTTTTTTACTTTGTAAGTAATTTAAAATATTTTATATTAATGTCTATTCGTTTCAAACTTAATGAATAAGTTTCTAAAAATGTAGGAGCTACAATTATTACTTTACTTGTCCTCTTTAGTCAAGTATTTGTTCTTGATATCTTTCAATTAATCAATTGTCACATGCAATATCTTAAGCACTAAATTATTTTAAAGATTTTGCTTTTGGCATTATCAACAATAAGTCTTTGATGTTATTCTTTAATCCATATTGAAATTAATTGATAAGGGATTTATCATTCTAATCCACATTGTAAGCAAGGTTTTGGAATTCACTAGCATATATGGTGGCTGACAATAATCCATATCATTAAGATAAGAATTTAATCTGTGGTACTTTTTTTCAATCACTTTTTCTGAATGTGGCTAAGAACACTTCTAGAAATGAATTCAAATCATAAAAGAGTTGTAAATCCTTTTCTATCAAAAGTATAAACAAAGAGAGAGCACTTTCAGATAAAAATATGCCTATGAATCTAACTTGAGTAAATCCATCAAAGTATTGGAAGGAATGCAACCTTAGATAGAGCTTGATTTTTTGTAAAATTTCTTAAAATTTTGATCTTGTTCCATCAAACTTCTCGAGAAAACTAATCCTTGTCCCTATCATACTTGTAGAAGCAAAACTTTTCGGATTTGGTTATGAGGTCAATTTATTTGCTCCCTTCAACTATACAACTTTTTGATGTAGACTTTGAAGTTCTTTCATATGTATAGGATTAGAGTTTTCATGGTTGACGTTGATGATGCATGAAATTTTCATCCTAATAGTGTTAACAAGTTTGTGAAGATCTGCAATAGTTGCAAATCTATTCTAACTTTTGCTAAGTATAGCATCTATGATTTTTTCTTGCATTTCAAACAACTTAACAAATCTATGAGTCAAATTAGAAGAAGATAATATGCAACTTTTAATATCAAATGAAAATTTCTACAAAGAAAGATAATCTACTTTCTTTAAGGAAAAAAGTCAATGTTAGAAAATTAAATATTTTATTTAAAGGTGGATAATCTGCAATCTTTAAAATATAATAATAGAAGTAAGATAATCCTATTACTTCTAAAATAAGATAAGAATAATAAGTTAGCACTCTTATGAAATTATCAAGGACATGAATCTCAATGAAAGAAAATCTCAATTTATTCTTGTGCCACTCAAAAAGATTAGAAAATCATTCAAAGATGGTAATATATATTGAATTAGAATAGCTATTGCCAAAGACAAAAAGACTAGAAATTCTTGAAACAAAACTAAGGACCTTCATAGATATTTGAGTTGATCTTTTGTTGTTTTTGAGCTTCTTTTAATTATGCCTTTATTATTGCATGCAACTTTCATAAATAATTTGTGAAATTTTTTGCTATAGAATTAATAAATTTTAAGAAGTCAAAAGTATCAAGTTGTGAATAATAACTATATTTAATATATATATATATATATATATATATATATATTGAATAAAAAAATATATAATGTTTTGGATTTTTTAAAAAATAATTAATAATCAATCTTAATTTCATTTCTTAAAGATGAACTGCATTGATTCCAAATAAAAAAATTATTATTGATTAAAATATATATTTCTTTTTTTTGGTATGATATAAGAATCCTAAAAATGGCATTTAACAAACCTTGTTGTTTTTTTAGTTGATGAGTAATCTTAAATCCAAATCTTAAAAAAGACATGCTCTAACAAGCTTAGCAACAATTTAAATCATATTTTGACATGAAATATTTAAAATTCTTGTGATCTGAATAAACAATCACTAGACTAAAAAAGCCTTCCATATAATGGTGCAATTCCTCAAAGAATACTCTCAAATAAGAGTGCACCTACAAATACAACTTAAATAAATCCAGCCATGTATTTAAAAGGATCTAATATTAAATAGAACTTGACTTATTGTAGTAATCTTCAAAAAATTTGAAAATTAGAATGCTTCTTAATGAAGCAAAACTATTTAGAATTTATATTGTGATTGTCTACTAGTATAAACACACTATTAATACCATAATCATAATTTTAAACTTTGTAGGAGCAAGCCACATAGAAAAACCTCCACACAAAGACTTCATTTGTCTATTACAAAATATGCATGGTAGAAACACAAAGATGATTTTTGTGTTTCTACCATACCACATGCTTTAGTAATGTATCCCTAAAAACCTTTAAATTATCAACACATGTGGTGTTTTGGCCATTTGAAATCTATTGAAAAGCTCTATACAATGGTTATGGAGAAAAGAGTATAAATGAAACCTTACAAATATAAGTCAAACCGGAGACAAAGCAAGAATTATAAACATATTGTAGACATGTTAAACAAATTATAGGAGCAAGTCATATGAGATTTGCATCATGACATGATAATTGAATTATACATTATATGAATGTATTATGTAATGGTAAACATTGTCATAAAAAGTAAAAAAATATTTTGATTTTGATAAAAAAAAATAAAATAAAATAAAATAGAATGCAATGAAGAAAATAACTTTCAAAAAATTGAAAAATAGGTTGTTTTACAAGTTATAGAAAACCAGATAATTATAAACCATGAATGGTGAATTTGTTTCAAACATTGTAGATTATGATTACCCAAAAGCTTGGAAAATGCAAAGCACAATTAGCTGCTTATTTGTACTCTCCATCTTTAAAATTCAAGCATAATGGTAAGCAAAATCAACTACAGTATGAACCCAACTTCCAAAGTTTGCTTCTGATTACCAATTTGCAACACATACCTAATCATGCCGTAAAAAAACCTCATACAACCCTTGAACTTGTCTGAAGCATGCAATATAATGCCTCAAGGCAGGTCTGTAATAGTTCTTCAGCCTCAAAGGAACAGCACCAAAATAGTTGAAAAAAGTGAACCTAAAAAATAATGGCTACTGCCAAAGTAATAGCTAAAATTCACCAAGCAGGAAAAAATATTGCAAGAAAGCAATATATATATATATATATATACATTGTCAGTTGGACAATATAACTTGTTAACTAAAAAATAAGCTTTATAATACAAATACTGATAGTACTATTTGAGTTGCATAGTGATTTATAAATTTACAAGGATAATACCAACTTGGCATATCAATCTCTCTTTCAAAAATCCTCCTTTCCACCCTACACCACCATTTGTGGTATATTGAAGCATCAGGCTTTTCAGGCATATGATACACCTCCGTTCAGTACTTTCTTCATGTCACGAATCTCATGCCCTTTTCCCCAAAATGACGCAAGTGACAAACCCATTGTGGCCATCACTACTACTGAGCACGCAGGAGGAACTGCATGACTTCCTCCTAGAAACTGTGTCGCCAAAAGCATTGCCAAAGTAGAGCTTTGCATGCCTGTACACAGACTTATTGTTCGTGAAACCTTCTCATCTTGCTTCCAGAATGGCAATCTCGGGATCCAGTACCCTAGAACAAATGCACCAATGTGAAACGCCAGCACAGGGAACAAGAGGCGAAACCCTTCCATAGATACAATGCGACTTCTGTTCAAGGCCAATGGACTTCCGATGCACAGAGATGTGCACACCATGGCCATCAGAGGCATAAAAGTCCGTATTTTGTCCACGAAGCCTTTGGCATATGTATTCAAACTAAGACCAAGCACAATGGGGAGGATCACAACCTGCAAGTCACAGCATCGATAATGAGTTTCCGGCAGTCTCTATTCGCAAATTAACTAGTTCAGTGTGAAAATACGTTGCAGCGTCACTTTCACATGCTCCCAGATGTAAAGGATTAAAGCTAAACCTGACTGAAGACAAAGACCAAATTTACTCCACACCCAGGCTCTGAAACTTGTGTCCTCCCAAAATTCAAGATATGATGGATATCCGTATTACCTGGAGGATAGATTTGCCCATGGCAATGATGTCCACTGGCACAACAGATCCGATCAGAAGCTTAGTCAGGAGAGGAGTAATAATCACAGACGTAACTGTGGTCAAACTTGTTAAGATGATGCTCAAGGCAACATCCCCTTCACTTAAGAAAGCAGCATAACTCGAGAGTTGAGCCCCAGCGACGCAAGATGTAAGAATCAATCCTGATGAGAATGCTGGAGAAACGCTGAAAGCTGCGCACACCAGAAGTCCTAAAAGAGGCTTCACCATGTACTGAGACATATACCCTACGAGCACAGGAAGAGGCCTGCACAATCAAAGAGAGAACTAAGTACAGAAATAACATACATCAAGAAAGCCATGATTCAGCCGATTAGAACGCTTTTAATTCCGCATCGTTCGTTCACTTATAACTATAAAGTAAGCTTAAGCAGATCAACTGCACATTCTTGCTTGCATCCTCCTTGCTTAGAGCACTTAACAAAATCGAATGTAGCCGATGAGAAAAAAGTAGTTCAAAAAGAATGCGATACTTTCTCCTGAGATTTATACTACTAAAAGTACACCAAAAGATCACCAGGCGGGGGGGGGATAAGTATACGAAATACTAAACCTTTTGAGTACTAGAGTAAAATCGGAAACAGAGAGCTGCACCCCAATTGAGAGCATTATTCCTCCAAGAGCTGGGGCGTAGTAGTCTTTACTAACCCTGAAAATAAATAAATAAACAGCAGTAGGGTAAGCCCCACAACGTGAAGGAGCAAGTAGAGCCAAAATACACAGGGATCGAAAGACATCTAGCTAATGCTAAGAGTGAAACCTCAAGATAAAGAAACGTTTTTACTATCTGCCCAGAACAACAATCGAACCACCACTACATGTATCAGGAGCCTAACATGCCCTGATCAATAGAAGTATGGCCCCCTTTGATCGATACTTACCAAGCAAAAGAAGCAGGCTGTGTCAATGCAGATACTGCGGTTGCTAATACAACATAGGGGAGCAGTTGCGATAATGACTTCGTAACATCAACTTTTTGGCCCCTCTTGTCACGCTTGACTTTGATGCCAAATGACGCCAGAGAGACATTCCCTTCTCTTATGTAAGTGCCAACTCTTCCTTTGTGTCGTGCTCTGCGGATCTCGATGGTACCCTCTTGCTGCCCCTCGTAAGAAGTAGAAGTGGCTGGCTTTTGAGATGAAGGCCCAAGAGGTTTGTGTCCATCCTCGTTCCCTTGGGAACTACCACCATTAACATTCAGGTGGCGCTTGATTTTCTCACAAGGTTGTTTGTTATGAGTTAATTTGCCCTTGTCTCCAGAAGATCCTTTACCTGTTGAATAGAAAAAGCATAGATATACATGTTAAAACCTCCACCATTTTCTCTCACTTAGCAGCTGAAATTATCTGACTTGCAAAATTGGTCGGCATATGATCAAAATGTCGTAGAATCTGCCATATGCAAAAAGGAACTGAGTCAATTTCGTAAAAAAAGGTGATTAGGTACTGACATTGAGTACTAGAATACAAAACGTGATGGAATAGTGTTATGCGCCTGATGCTTCCAGAGCTCAAGAAAACATGCTTCGGGAAGGTTGAGCCAAGAAAAACACAGCTGCCCCTGGACGGTAAGCCCTTGACCAAACCTTCGGGAGGCGTAGGAGGCTCACGTAGTGATGTAACACTACGGATGTTATGTACATAATTCGCAAGATTAGCAGCCATTGCTTGAGACCACAACTACGCCCTCGAGGTTTTAACAAGGTGCATCAATAATCTGAGAGGCACTCTACAAAATTTCACATCTACACGATGCCCATAACTTTCCAACTGTTCCTGCAAACAGTCAACAAAGACGGATCAGATGATTTACGAATTCATCACCATCCTTTGTATAACCACATCAAAGAGCAGCTCAAAAACATTAACTAGCCATGTTGAAAAGTGCTCCTCACAAAAAGCCAAATGACCGTAGAGGATGCTTGCAAATTGAAGAAAAGAATCCATTAAAAGACTCTAAATCACTCACATCCCCATGTGAACAGGGGTCTTATTTTCAAGACTCTATTCGCACTGTAGCAAAAGTGCATTACATTTTGTCTGACATTTCGCAATGTGTACACACTTGCACATGCCCGAGGCTGGAGGATATGAGAATCTCATCTTCAATCAGATTTTGAGACGGGGACACAGCTACACGAGTGTAGCACACTGCTCAGCACAAAGTGGCATAGGTACGAGTGCCTTCAAGATAAACAAAAAAAAAAAAAAAAAAAAAAAAAACAGCTGAACTAAACTCGAGGTTGAGAACCCCATAAGTGTAAGACGGAGAGCGCTGCATCCAAGGCTAAGGATGCTATGGGGTAAAAAGAGGACATAAAAAACGAATATATTCACATATATGTATATATATATATATATATATATATATATAGATATATCCAAAAAAGAATAACAGCTTGCGGGTTACAGCCACTGAATTTACCCAATTCTACCGACCCATCAACGAACACCACGCATCGGATGGAGAAATGGAGATGCCAGTGAGAGAGACGAAATAAAAGAAACACACCAGGCAATAAGCTCGACAGTAAAGAAGACCAAGACTGCGTTTGCTAAACAAAGCATTCGAGAGCTTATTGACCTCCGTCCTCACTCACAGGCGCCAAGCAAGCAATTCACAGTGAGGCCAAGTTCACGCCAAAAGTGAGCACTCACCACAAAATTTCCCCATGAGCTCGACCCCGGGCTGTTACAAACACAGCTTCATGGACATGCCGAATGTCATGAAACTCGGCTGCAGTTTCTGTACAAAAGCGTGCTCCAACTAAGAAGCCAGGACTGATTCAATCAGAGCAGGAAGGAAATTTGTCTACACAGAGAGAGAGAGAGAGAGAGAGAGAGAGAGCCAAGAGCAACCCACAAGATTAACTCTAAAATCCACCGTAATTTCTCCACCCAAAACTGTCTCTAATCTCCTCCTCCAAACTTCCTAAGCATCTCCACTACCTCTGGTACCAATGTAGCCACCAAGAAAAGAATCCGAGGCCCCTCACACGCGACGAACGCTCTCTCGCTCTCTCAAGCGAGATCCTGCAATGGACACCGACAGCTCGAGGAGTAGGCTCTGGAACTCGCGCCGCGGTCCATGAACAACACTGGCGTAGAGTAGAGCACCTCTGTACAAGCCAGATCCCGCTCCAGGCCCCGGTCCAGCGAGAGCGAAACAAGCTCTCACCGGGACCTCGAGCTCCAACATAAACTAAATTGTCGAAGCCGCAATTGGCAACGCATTTCCACCCTCGAGGGAGACGACGTATACCGTCCCTGGGTATATGTATCTACATTTGTATTTCTATATTTGGACGAACTTGTTTACGGATTGGGTTGGCTTAGGGCTCCCATGCTCTTAGGGCTCCCCTGGAAATGTTGTGCTTGCTGAATCAATTCGTTCCTGATGAGAATGTTGGCTTGAATATTCTTAAGCCAGTAAACACAGCAAACTTGAGCTTGTGCTTCATACTCATGTATAGAATACTGAGACAGTAACACTCTACATGTTCATTGATTATGTCTATACGTTTGGATGTGATAAGTTTTTTGTGGTTATATGCTTGTAAAGTGTAAATTTGTTCTTTTTACTACATATGGATATTACATACACATGTACGAATTCTTTCTTTTCTGTATACTAATATTACTAATGTTTGTCCCTCGTGATTTTACTTAAACTGATATTCTTATTTTTTATTCTGGGTAATTATTTCCAGCCTCATAATAATTTACTATTTGGCTGTGTTCGATTGGCTCTTGAAGAAAGAATATTTTTAATGAACTCATTACGGAAGGTACCATTGTTAATTCACTGGTCCAGAGAGGCAGTGGATGGTGTATATTTGCCACACATTGTTGACTTCATCTGTCAGGATACGAGTTTACTTTGAACAAAGTGCAATGGTTTAAACTCCTCCAGATGCTACAAATAATACATAATCAAATTGCACGTTTCCAATAACAAGAGAAAACAATGCTCCTGCCCTCGAAACTTCAATTTTGATTGTCAAGTGTGCCAAAGAGTATTCTACGCAGTTACAGTCACTACGCATCTGTATCCAAAGACTAATTTGTAGCTTGGCTTTAAATGAATATTTTAGGAGAGCAAATGTATACCGAGGGCCCACACTAAATCAAATGGTTTATAAAAGTAGTATAACACCTCATTCAATCATTAGTACTACGGACTGGACCGGGGGCGGGAATAGGGTCCACAATCGGAACCGGCCCAAGGGCGGAGTCAAATAGTCCACGCCCTGCAAAATTCACCTCTAAATCGGATGGATGTAAAAGACGAGCCGTCGACGTGAAAAGACAAAAGGCGTAAGTAAAACACAGAGAGGAGCAATCTCAGCCGCTGTTCACAGATCGCCACTCCCATCTTTCTGGAACGAGAAAGTTATTTGCGGACGTGTGGAAGAGGTGATAAGGTGGAGTTCTCGGTCCACTCGTTGGCGCCTCCCGGCGGGTACCCCTTGCGAAAGCCCAGCGCACCACATCAGAACTCCATGGGAACAACTCAGAGGTTCCAAATGTTCAAATTGAATATGCTGTGTTCACGGGCTTTTGCATGTGGGTGTGGTGAGTTTTCAATAATAAAATTAATAGACATACAGGACGATGTGAGCCAAAGGCATATGGGTCACCAGCTGGTCATTTTTGTTTGCTCCCACCATTCAATGGTCTCATGGATGGAGTCTCACCCCTTGAAAGAAAGTTTGGAGAATCTACTGTGTGGATGAGATATGGTGAAATTGAGACAATAATCATGGATTAAAGCGGAATGGTGTGCAAGTCCATCAAGTGTGACATCTACTTATGGTCTAATTGAATGTTAATTTATTTATTTTTGTTTTACTTGTAATATGAAATTATGGGAATGAAATTTACAACCATGAATGTTTTTACTTGAAGGTCTTTATTTTATTTTATTTTATTTTGGTTGTTTTCATTGTACATATTATGAGTGTTTTGTGTGTTTTAGTCTATTGTTGATATGTTGATTGCTAGGTTCATTACTAAATATGTCCACTTGAGGTTGGGAATGAGTCATTGAATAATAAATAAAATTCCATGAGGTACATCAATATTATATATATATATATATATATATATATGTGTGTGTGTGTGTGTGTGTGTGTGCACTCAGTCATTCACTTACATATAATGTGTCCTGGAAATTGTAAGTGCAGTAAGGGTGCATTTGGTTGCATATTTTCATTTCTTTAGGTGTTCTTGATCCAAACAAAAGCCCAATGCTACTGCAGCAAAACACGAATAAGTAAACACACACTAGTTTCAAAGGATTCCAAAACACATTCACACAAATGAATTTTTTTTTTTTTTTTTTTTTTTTTTTTTTTCATTGTTATTTTTTGTATATTGAATTATCATTTGTGAAAAGAAAAAATTGTAGTAAAAGTTATTGTAAAGTTGGTTACTAGGCCAAAGAAAACTATTTTAATAATATAATAAGGTTAGCATGACATGTGTATAATCAAATAACTAGAGGATACAACTTTTCTCTAGAAGAAAGAGGAAGTTTAGAAATTCAGACATGCACATTATTAACAATTTACATTAAATAAACCTAACTCATTCTTCAAGTTTTTTCACCAATTATTACATAAAATAATTTGCCATATTACAGTCATTATTTTAGTATCATTTGCAATAATAATATAAAAAATATTAGGTTTGAAAAAAAAAAAAAAAAATGATCATAAAGTAGATCTCTATTTATTCAATCATATATAAACTTCTTGTAATGGAACTTATTGATATAGTTTTCCTTTCCTTTTTTTCTTGAGGAAAAATAATGCATAAATGAATGGAAGATAGCACCTAGTGTGTTTTGTGATGCACCACATGATATATCATAGGCTTGCAACTTAGAAACCTGTGTTACCACCATCATTGGGTAAAGGCAAACTAAAGCAAGGCAACTTTGCTTTATTAAAATAATAATACTAATGATTAGAGCAAACCCAAAGTTGTACAAGTTCCCATACAAATGAAGCAAAAACTGAACAAAGTGAGATTTCTTTGTTGGAAATTTCTCCTGAAAAGTCAACCTCAAAACTTACCTTTTGAATACTTTCTTAATTTTTAAAAACATGTATATATTCTTTGACTTCATGATGGGGAGGTTTATTGTTTATCATTATTCAGTTCCAAAAGGCTCATATAACCCACATGAAATTGTTTTGCATTGTATTTTTTATCCCATGGGACAAAAGGCCAATCTACAGAAGCAATACTTTCTTATGAGTGCCACATGGGTCCATAAAAAGTCACTTTAAGTCCCTCAGGGTGACTCAGATAATAGCTCATTATGAGCTTTGCTTGTCATTGTCACATCCATTTAAAGCCAATCCCTCCTTTTTACTTTCCTCTACGCTCCCTACATCCACAATGTCCCTATAACCGTGACCTATTTATCGTCATGTCCCTAACACCATGCTCTGAGCCCTTCTACTTTTGTCCTGCACTGCCCTATTTGTTACCCAATCAGGAACTTCAAAATTTAACATGCAAAAAATAAGTTGGGTCACACAGTAAGATTTTTATCTTTATTTTTTATTTTTTTATTTTTTCCGCATTCTGAACACATTAGTCTTACTTAGCTTCTGGTGAATGATTTAATTTAATTTAATTTAATTTTTTGCTATTAAGCTACATGAAGTGAAGAGAACTGATTATGTTGAGTCGACTATTCATTCAACTTTTTTCTGGTGCACAGTGGAAACTATCTGTTAATTTCTAGCAGAAATTAATCGACTGGTTTGAATATTTATGTTTCAATTATCAGTACCATTATGTTCTTTTCCAAGCCTTATCAAAAAGTAGGGTTTACACCTTAAGGCTCCCATTCGAACGACGTCCAGCTGGGATTAGGGCTTAGTCATCGGTCTGTATAAATAAAGAAATGCTTGGACTATATCGGGCATGACAAGTGATGGACTCTTTGAGTTGGAGTCCTTATGTCCGAATCTCGCTGGCCAGAGAAGTAGAAAAAGACGGAAAGGAAAAAGAAGTTGAAATTCCAATGGTTGTGATTGGACAGGGAGCTCTCTAAGAAAGTGACGTGGTGTGACCTCGTGGAGAAAAGTCTATATGACACGTTCATATTCCCCCCTCTAATGGAACGGTTTCCTTTTTCGTTGATGGAATGAAACTAATATTTTCTAAATCCATCCATCCATGGTGTTTTGTAAGTTTATGAGTTTTACTTAAAAAGTTATTAGTCAAGTTTATAATAACTTACTCAGTTTAATCAACTTTGTCTTGGAATATTTGTTTTTGAAACAATGAGATTCAATCCAAAATATAAGAGATTTTAATGAACTTTTATAAATGTAATGGTACTTTATTATTCCAATGATGTATTTGAAATATTTTAATAAGTGTTAATGTAAAATAAATTATTTTTTAATCTACATCATCTAAATAGAAATTTTTAATTTTTTTCTATAATTTTTTTATAATTATTTATTTATTTTAATCACTACATAATTCTTAAGGATATGAATTTGAATATATATATATATATATATATATATATATATAACCATATACAATCAAAATAGAAGAAAAAAAAACCAAATATAATTATATATTTATAAATTAAAAAAGACTTCAAATGACCATTATCAAATACAAAAACTAAAGATTCTTAAAATTGCATAATAAGAAAAGAATTGATAAAACTAGAAATATATTAAGTCTTGCATATATATATATATATATATATATATATTTATTTATTAGTTTTCAATAAAATCATTTAGAAAGTTTTTTAGATCCAAAAGACTTTGAAGCAAAATATCAAAGTTTTAATATGCTTGTATAATTATGCTTAGTCTCTTTTATCTTCTTAGGAATGCTCCTACAACTTTCAAATTCAAAGTTAAGGAAATGTAACATTTTTTAGTCTTTTTACCTATATCATTGAGGTTTTTTAGATAATTCAACTTTATTTCTAGTAAAATGAGTAATAAATAATTTTTAACTTACATCTTTTTTATAATATTTAATTTAAAATTTATGAAACTTTATAGGATAATTCTATGTAAAACTTTATTTTTATACAATCATAAGTTATGTGTTTTTTTTGCTTGTACAAAAAACATCCATAGGCATTACATCTTGTCAAGGATATAAATCTCAAAGGAAGAAAAACTTGAACACACTCTTGTATTACTGAAGAAAACTAGAAAGTCACTCAACAAGTGATGTAATATTAAACTAGAATGGCTATTG